GGCTGGTGTGCTTATGGGCTTTGTTGGTTCTCAGCTAGATGGCCACTTGTTTATCTTCAACCCTTTAAGGTACCAGACGCTATATCTTTTGAAAGCTGGGCACCATCAGCTTTCTTTACCACATTTGCTTATGCACCTATTTTGTCTTCAGTGATCGTGTTGGGAAGGTGAGCATCAGAGAATGCCGGTTTATTAGAACAAAGTGTTCTTGTGTTGAGGGAGTACTTGAGTCTAGGCCCAATGTCCATCACAACCTTAATTCTTAACATATAGATATGAGTACATAGATCTATTCCCCTCTCATTATATATAAATTTATTTGCATATGTACATACCTGTCTTGCACTTGTGGCTTCAAATAATTGGATGAGGCCCATGCACCTCATCAAGAGTAATCTGGAAAAGACCTTCTCAGCAATTTCTGGAAGTGTTTGATCACACAACAGCTAGATGCCATCTCTTAGCCATATTAACATCAAATTAACCACCATGAGTAGTTACACATTGGGGTACTGATGGCAAGGTTGTAGTTTGAAACCAATCGCCGTTCTGCAGGAGAAAGATGAGGCTTTCTGCTCCTGTAACCCACCTCGGTCCTGTGGGGTCACTATTAGTTAGAATCGACTTGATGGCAGTGAGTGTTAAAGAGTGGCAACATTTATTTTGGCACCTGTGGATCAGCGTAGTTAGGACAGGCTAAAACTAGTCTCACTTTAATACTACAGGCCCTACCATTGGTGGTGGGGTCTACTGATAGCTGTAAATGTTCGGCATAGTTTCTCTACTTTGGATGAACAGAATTTAAATATGTCTGGGTATTGCTCAGTTCATATTGCCCTTGCAGTTATTCTTGGCCTGACAGGTTCACAGAATATACCCATGTTAGTGTTTCCGCCTAAGGCTCCAGTATCTCGGCACCACTCTTGCTGTGGGTGTTGCTCCAAACTGTCCTGTATTCTTCCTACAAACCTCAGCTGCTTTAGCCTTGCTAATCCCAAGTGGTCAACTCACTCTCACAAGGCTCTCCCGAATGCTGCTGATATCTCATTTGCATTGCAGCGGTGGGGAAAAATTCCTGGGCATAGCTTTCCTGGCCTTTCCCTCACCAGTGCGATTTTCCACTTTCTTAAAACTTCCTCCTCCTAAGCCTTCATGATCATCCTGTGTCATTTAAGAAAATGTATCCAGAGTAGCACCCCTTTGAAATCCCCAAAAGCAGTCACCCAAACCTTCCGAGTTGACCTCTCTTGCCTTGAATGTAACTGGCCTGGCAGATCCCCTGGGAAGCCACTGTTTTGATTGGACCTGGCTCTCAATCAGATTTGTTCATCGAAGGCTTGATTATGATCCATACGATAGCATCATCTTCATTAGCATCAATCTTACTTAAAAGGTGGATGGACAGATTGATCAACTTGTTTACTTAGAATTGAAAATGCCAAATCATGTGCAATCCCAGCTTCATTCGCTCTGAGGTCAGTGGTAACTCCATGGTCACCTTCTCCCAGTTCCTGAACTGTAGCTGCTGTTTCATCATTCTTTTGAGGTTGCGGTCTTGCTTTTCTTTGCTCACATTTGAGGTCTTTTCACCCTTCCTTCAAATAATTGATCCTTTTAAACTCTGTTGTGTTATATGGGGTATTAAAAATTTGATAGCACCCTGACCTCAAAATTGTATGTTTTTCTCCATGGCACAAGGAGGTATAATTTTTAAAATGCATCCTAGTGAGAGAATATGTCTGAGCCATGTACTGATCTCAGAGACATGTTTAAACACTTTTTTTAATAAGCCCATGTGTGTATGAATTGAGCCCTCATAGTAGAACCTTTTTACTTAATGCCACTTTTTGTAATTCATCTTTCTGTCCCAAGTACAATGTCTAACACATTTGATCCGTGTTTGTTGAATTTTAATATCAACTTAATGGAGGCAAGCCAGTACTTTTAAAAACACAAACTTTTAAGATATTCCATTTGTGATTTGTTTTAAATGCATAATTTTTGCTGAAGGGAAATACAAATTGAAAAGATGATATTTCTTTTGTTGGTATAATTTAACTTGGTGGGGGGGCGGGGACAACAACGACAGACAAACTAAACTGAGAGGATTTGGCCAGAGAGTGAAAGAAAATTTAATACTGCTCTTTTGGTAAACAATTTAGTTTTATCTATTAGTGGCTCTGTCGGGTAAGAATTGGGCTGGTAACCACAAAACTGTAAGGTCAGTGGTTCAAATTCACCAGTTAGCCCATGGAACAAAGATGAGGTCATCTGCTCCCATGAAGATAGACAGCCTCAGAAGCCCTATG